CCAATTCTTCATATATTTCAGCTGGAAGTTCACTTCCTTTTTGGCGTCAATCACTTTCCTTGTGTTTCTCGAACACGTTTGGTGACTTCAGCAACAATTTTGTCGATTTCTTCTTAGGTTAGCATTTGTCTTGGTAAATTGGTATCTGCCACATTATTACTAGTGGATGGATCAGACATAGTTATTCCACGATGCGCGGCTTAGAAAGATTTAAAGAAGTGGGAAAGAAAAAAAATATATATATCATGGTTGTTCTCAAGGAACATTTTTTTTTTTAATCTCAATTTCGCAAATTGTTTTTGGTAATCGCAGATTTTATTAACCTGCCGCTCTCATTTTCCTAAGAAAAAGGTGGGAAATACAGATTTTATTTTAGTATTTTAAAGATTTCCTTTTCAAATATAAGGCAAGGGTGGAGGCCACTGTTATATATCAAAAAAGAAACTGACAAATTACTAAAGTACCATCTTTCTTATCATTTCTTTTCACTTCTTTTATCACTTCTTTTCCTTTTTTTTTTAAAAAAACACTCTATATTTTGTTGTTCATTGGTTGAGTATACATAATTAATGAAAGCAATGACTAAAACCAAAATAAATGAAGCTTGGTTTTCAAGCATTTTTATTAAAACTTATTGAGAAAGAAAAAAGAGAACAAAGTAAAGGCATTTTCTCAGGATAGTGAATGACTAAAGAAAGCACTAAAGTTTGCGATTACCAAAAAGAATTTGCGATTACCAAAAAGGATTTGCGATTCTTCTCAAATTCTTTTTGGTAATCGCATTTTACGAAATGGAGATTAAAAAAATTGTTGCTTGACTTTTGAAAATGAGTGTTAGAATAAATTTATTTTAATTTGGTAAAACCCTCGATGTTCAAAGAGATCGAATGATCATTTAACATTTTGTAACCCAATTTAGTGTGCTCCGTTGGAAATCGTATATCCGAAATAACTCTTGAATAAAAAGAAATATTAGAGAGAAACGATGACGAATAGATCTCTTTTTTTTTAAAAAAAAACAAACAAAAAAAGAACGGGGTTCTGATTAAACTCTAGCGTCATTTTAGTGCCTTTTCAATATATTTGATTTTTTCTTTAAAAAGCCTACTATAACTATGATTATTATTTCATACCAATTCAATATAAACTGTCTTTTTGTATAAATGCATACCTAAATATGGTGTAAATGTTTTAATATATTGTCTATTAAAATAACGCCTTTGCACATCGCCCGTTCCATTTGTTAAACTTTAATAAGTTTGAGTAACAAAATACATTGCAGATCATTCAATGGTGATATCATTTATTACTAAATATGGTATAATGATCTTCGACTTCTTGAAAGACATGGATGCACATAAGTATTACTGCTACTTTAAATACGTTTAATTATATAAAAAAAAACCTAATAGTGTACCATAATGGAGAAGAAGTGATAAATAGAGGGAAAAGATAAGAAAAGATAAGAAGTGCACATTTATTAAATTCCTCTCTTTCCTTTGTTCTATTTTTTTGATGAAAAAAAAAGGTAGTGCAAAATACAAACTTATCCTATTAAATTTAAATTTAATTTCTTATTTCAAACTTTGCTCCTTTTTATATTTTAGTCGTTCTTTTTCCCTTTCTTTTCTTGAAAATATAATACAAACGGAATGACAGTGGACTATCATCGGCTGGGAAACGATCCTCAGAATGGTTTATTATTAAAATATAAGCTTGCCAAAGCTATAACATTCATTAGTTTGGCTGCTATTATGAGTTTAACAATATCCTCCTTCCTTTATCCAGGTAAATCTTCAATGTCATATACATAAATAAGAAAAAACTTGTTAAATATGTTTTGATTCATAGATTTATTTACTTCATTTAAATCCGATACAGAGGCTTACTATTTACCAAATAAAATTATTATACCACCGAGCAAAGATGGTAGCTACACTCCTCCATCACCGGACAGTGCTCTTTTGGATGCGGTAAAGCGTGCCTCTCTTCAAGACATTCAAAAATACTCTGAGCTAATAGATCAAGAAAATGGATTTACGGATGAATGGGACTACGATCAAGAAAGTGGTTGTGGAAAATGGCAAGAGAAATATACACAATTACATGAAAGTAATTTAAAGCTTTTAAAAAGCTATCAAGATGGAGTCTTTCAACCAGATATTACAAAAGAAAACAAACCAAGGTTCATCTCATATGTTTGCACCGCCATTGAAAAGGATAGAAATAGGGGCTGTGGTGGGCTTGGCGATCGAATGAATGGTATGTACTTATTTATATAAAAAAAAATAGTAAAGGGAGTAAATTGAAACCTTTTTCTTGTTATGGTAGGTATGATATCCACATTTTTTTACGGTTTCTTGACAGATCGAGCCTATCTTTTGCACTGGGATGAACATAACCCTTTACCTTTGGAGACAGTATGGGAACAACCTTCCATTAATTGGACTCATAACCCCGTTGAAATGGAAAAACTATTCAATTCAAAGAACGAACTATTGGGCTATCAAAAGGTGGCAATGCTGAATCAAAAACTACCGGTGGTTACAAAGACAATACTCCCTAAAGGTTCTAATACAGATTTTAACAAGATTTGGAATCAAACATTTGTACAAGTTAGATCTAATCGAGGTTACATTGTGAATGTTTTTAATCATCATCAGAAATACGCCAAAAAACTCAATGAACTTGGTCTTACCAAAGAAAATGCTTTCAAGTGTATCACAAACTATTTATTTAGACCCACTATTGGTGCACGGCAGTTTCTAAATGCGTATAAACAAGTTTTTCAAATGGACTCGATACTTTCTATTGGTATTCAAATTCGGACTGATGATAGTGCTTTAGCAGATCCGAGCAAAGATATTAATGATCTGGATAAATGGGCACATTTCTTTCGCTGTGCTTCCGAATTAGCAGAATATAAAGTCAAGCCAAATCAACATGTGGTATTCTTTTTAATAACAGACTCGCAGCATCTGAGGAATCAATTTGCTTTACTCAATGAAAACAAAAAATCATCTGCTACTTATTTTGGAGATATTGCCTATAAATCTACAATGATTGTTACTGGTTTACCAATAGAACATATAGAGATTGATCAAGTCAGTAAGAAATACGGAACTGCAGAGCAACGCAAGAAAGCAAATATTGAACGTATGCTACCTGGATCTAACAGTGCATATATAGAGAACTGGCTTCTCGCTTACACAAAATACAGAGTTATTAGTCCACAAGGTTACGGTAAAATGGCTGCGTTTTATTCTGGATCAGATTATACTACTATTTCGATACCCAAACAACCTTCACCACCCCCTACGTGCTCTAATGAAGAAGCATTTATTAGCTATGACTGGTTAAGTGAGCAGTGGAGTTTGGGATAAGGATAATAAATACATTTTTAATATTCATATTTGCATACAACATCCTGTTTATAGTCTACCTTATTTTTAACAATCATGCTATCTGAGGTTTTTTTTTTTAAAAAAAAAATAAAAAAGAATATTGCTCTAACAACGCTACTATACGTTATTAATAACAGTAATGTAATCGAACCAGTACCCAGGGGCAGGGGAAATTAAATATAAGCTGTTAATATTAGTGTAATCATTTATGTTGGATAAGAACACACTTATTTTAACAAAAAATACGAGTATTTAAGTTTAGATATACATCATACATAGTAACACTATTATTAGTACTTCTTCTCCTTAAATGCTACTTGATCTCTTGATAAAAATAGATCATCAAAATAGTTTTTAAAGACTATCAAAAATCAGGAACAACCAGCATTTTCCTCATATGAATGTAATAATAGTCAACAGTGAAAAATAAAATCTATGATATATCTAATATCAATAGTGAAGAAAATTGATATTTTGTTATAGTTCTTATAGTGTGTTTAGGTCAGATTCAGCTAAAATGAGTCAATTTTTTGAGAATGAATCAGCTCAATAAAAGAGAGTCAACTTTTTCAAATCAAGTCAGCCCAGTAAAAGTGGGTCAACAATTTGAAATTGAATCACTTTAGCTAAACACAATTTGAAGTTTGAACTAACAGTGGTAGACTTAAGTGTTTATCTATAAAATAAAAGTTAGTTAGCCTTTTTATTATTATTATTACAATCTATTTAAGAAGACCATAACTAATTGCCAAGTTCAGGATACACTTTATATAAATTACTCTCTCACTCTCTATCTATAGTAAATAAAGGTAAAGGTAATATTCAAAGGTTTCAATCAAAAAGAACATAATAGTAGAGCGTAAATGATATAGTATACTGCAACCTATAAAATGAATGAACCACTTGCTGTATTTTATAGGCCACAAATTTAACAGCTTCAATGTGAACAATATCTGACTTATTTCATATTTATGTCCCACTTTCAAAATCTTGGCTTGCATAATTTTCATTCTAAGAGTACTTTATTTTAGAGCTTTGAATTTTACATTGTATGACCAAAGTATGTTATGGTCAAATCAACTAATGTGGCATATTGTCACAACATAATTCATTTTTTTTTGAAAGAATGAACCTTATTACCGAAAGTATATAGTGATAATAAAAAAAACACAACATGTAATAAGATTTCGGCAAGCCTTTTTCTTCTGTAAATACTATTTTAATTACTCACTCTCAACCAGTCATTCTCTATATTATTCATTTTAAGAACGTAGAAAATACTTTCCTCAATAAGGGAGCTATGAGTTATTCACTATGCCTTATAATCTTACATAAGAGGAATACTTATAGCAAACAGAGTAATTGACTAAAGCGAAGAGGTATATAAAACAAAATATAGGATTAACACTTTTGCATGATACTATAAGGGAAGAAGTATAGGTATTGAAGCTCTTCTATACCCCGGGCCGAACTTCATTTCCACGGGAATATTATACTACATACACGACATTAAAAATAATTTGATTCACTGGTTAAATATTTTACCGGTTTTAGTTGTAAAATAAATAATACTTTACTTTATAATTTTCAACAAATAGCATCTTGGCGCAGTGGTAGCGCGTTGGGCTCATAACCCAAAGGTCGCTTGATCGAAACAAGCAGATGCTACTTTCTTTTGCATTTTTCTCTATTATTTTTTTTTTACTGGTTTTTTTTATCAATTTGTTTGGTTTGTTTTGGTTCTATGTAAGTTCAGTAGGTAGTAGTGAGCACCAACAATTTAAAGTATTGTTATTATAGTTTACTTATATAAAAGATAGAGTTTTTATACAAGAGGAGAGAAATAAAGATATAAAATAAATAGAATAAAAATAATATCTATGGACCTTCAACAATAAATAGGGCAGAGTACACCTCGATGCCAATAATCAAAAGAAATAATAAAAAGAAATAAAGGGGCTTCTGTGCTAATGCTTTAAGTAATAAGATATAAAAATAAATGTGAGAATGAAGATGATGTTTATTAAGTGATAAATATCACAATATTTATATTAATTCAATCAACCATTATCGGTTAAAAGAAAACTAATCTAAAAGATTATTACAAATATAAAATATAAAAAGATAGATGAGAACCTAAAATCGATTCATGAGAATAAATGAATACTTTCCTTACAATACCAAGTGATTAGGATAAGAAATACAAGGAAATAGTTAATAAAATTGGAATAAATCCTCAAAATATAATGGATAAAGTAATAGCCCAGAATATATCAAAATAGAATTAAATCTAAATATCCAGAATGACAGTATTAAAATAAAGTATCAACCAAAGCATGAATATAATTTAATATATCCAGAGCGGAGAGTAAAAGCTGACAGGCGAATAAGCCAAAAACTTGGATCAAGTATAAGATACAGCCACGGGCATTATGAGTATATGAGATGCAACATTGTTCTAAAGAAAGGTATCCGAATAAGGAAAGATTTGTTTGGTACGAAAGACACTTGGTATAGCAGGGTTATAGTATAGAAAAAAAGAAAGTATTGTATCAATATTCGACCAGCATTATTCGTGTTAATTAATCTCGTTTCATCGATCTAGAGTTGACGAGAGTGTTGATTTTTGTGAAATAGTCAATCGGTAATTTATATGTAAGTTGCAGTCATCGCAATTGGTTATATCAAAACAGTAGCTACTAAAATTCTGGCTTACGAAGCTGCAGACTACAGAGAAGGATATTGTCTTCCATCCAATAAGTGTTGATAAAAAAAAGTGAACAAATAGATATAATGACTTGTAAGAAGTGATTTATACTATTGAAAAACTCTTGTTTATATATATGTGGTACCTTTCATTCGGCCGTAAGCCCAGAAACATTTTTTCCTTAAATCCAGTTGTGGTACCAATCTTCTGGATGCAAAGATTTTTAGTACGGAAAAGAAGCACTTATCGGAGTCTGTTCCGCTAAAATCCAGTTTTTTTTATTTACGGATTTTTCTTCCGCTTGTGAACTTCGACAAGGACTTTAAGATGAATCAAAGTGACCTATTTTCCAAGCAATTATCTTTATACTACTTCAAGTAAAATATTAAATAGTGTATTATGTTACTTCTCCGAGTTTTTTTTTTTTTTTCCTTCCTTGTATACATCTATAAAACTTAAGATCTACTATTATAAATTGAAAAAAAGTTCATCCTGGATATTATAAATTAACAATGCCCGGGAAATCATTTTGTAATCAAATATGTTACACAACAATGATGTTTCTGTGGTTGTATTCTTCTGTTCATCTTCAATAATGATTTACTTCGATTCTCATTAAATGTTTAAATCAAAGCATGGATTACTGTTTTTTTTTTGTAAATATCATATAGTTTACTAATATGAAAATATTCTGCTGTGTGGAATACTATTACTACTGCTAACATTAAATAGTTAAAAATATAGTTCGAAAAGGGCGTTTACTTTCTAAATTGGAAAGTTAAAGGTGAAAATTATTTTATCTTTTTAGTCCGAATTAATCGTCCGCTTACATTTTTATGCCGAAGCATATCACATTCAGATAAATCTCAACTTGATGGTATTCTCAGTATTTGAAAAAAAGAAAATTATTTTGGTGTTTCCCTATTCTCCATATATCAATGATGGTAATGTTTTCTTACAAATTACCGAGAAATCGATGCTGTAGTGTAATTATCATGTTTAAATAGACATAGTACCCTTAACCTTAAATATTCAAAAACGTGTCTTCTCGGATTACTATTACGTAAATGATATAGTTTATAAATATTCGAATATAGATAATAACAACAACAGACTTTTCAATATTATTCATTAAAATATCAAGTACTCGAAGTCAAATATAAGAATAGTGCTGCTTAGAAAAATAACCTCACCACAGAACGTCAATAAAAAGCATCATAAAGGGAGTACATTTATTATTATTGTTACCGAAAAAAAAAATAACTTAATGAAGTATGGGAAAAAAAGTATAATAAAATGTTAATTTAACTGGCAAAATATTTTTATTTAAAACGAAAAAATAAATCCAATTTTACCTCTCTTTATCCTTTCTTACAATTTTACAATAAATATATAACCGTCACTAACACTAATGGCTTCAAAAGAATTGCAAGTGTTCCAGGTTGAAGAAGTACGCAAACATGCCTCAGAGGACGATCTTTGGATAATTATTGATGGAAGTGTATATGACATGAGTACCTTTATTGATTTACATCCTGGTGGTGTGTTTCCAATCTTGGAATATGCTGGTAAAGATGCTACAGAAGCTTTTTATGGAATGCACAGACAAGAAGTGCTTTTTAAATATGATCGTTATAAAATTGGAACTGTCGCTGGTGTCGAACCTCAAATTACTCTTAATGTACCTGGAACTGTTTCTATGGTTCCTTACGCTGAACTGAGTGCATGGCAAGGATACAAGTCACCTTATTACAAGTAAGTTTAAAGACAGAAGTATATGTACATTGTTGGTACTAACCTTAAATTAGGGAGACCCACTTCAAATTTAGAGATTCATTGCGTAAGTTCCTTGATCCAATCATGGCTGAAGCCCGTCATTTAGAGGACTCTGGAGATAAACCAAGTGACGAACTTCAAATGAAGCTAGGAAAAGCTGGCATTCTTGCTGCTAATTGTGGACCAGGACCATGGTTAAAGGACTATCAGCTTCCTGGTGGCATTGCTGGGGACGAATTTGATTATTTTCACGAACTTCTGCTTCATGCTGAGTTTGCTAGATTTGCTTCTCCAGGTTTTGAAACCGGTGTTTTGGGAGGTCTTGCTATTTCAGCCCCTACTATTTTGAATTTTGGTAGTCCTGCTCTTAAAGCCAAGGTTATTCCTCAGGTCTTTAGTGGTGAAAAAAGAATGAGTCTTGCAATCACGGAACCTTATACTGGCTCTGATGTTTCTAGCATCAGAACAACAGCAGTAAGAAGTGCTGATGGAAAGCATTTTATTGTCAACGGTGTTAAGAAATGGATTACAACAGGTAATTATATAGTTTTATTTTATATAATGTATTTTTATTGTTAAAATGAGTGGTTTATTTGTCATAGGTTGTTGGGCACATTTCTTTTCTACAGCTGTAAGAACAGAAAAAGGCATTTCTATGCTTTTGATTGAGAGATCTGAGGGTGTTGAAACAAAACTTATTAGAACCTCATACTCCACATGTGCTGGTACCGCTTATGTTTCTTTTGAAAACGTATGTTTTTCTTAATTAGATATCACTATGGCCTAGCAGGTACTAATTTTTTCCTTTAGGTTAAAGTACCTGTAGAAAATCTTTTAGGTGAAGAAGGAAAAGGATTCTTTTATGTTCTTTCAAATTTCAATCATGAGAGATGGAGTATGCTTGCCAATGCAACAATGGGCGCTAGATTGGTTATTGAAGAGTGCTTCAAATGGGCCAATCAAAGAAAAGTTTTTGGTAAGCGTTTGGTTGATCAGCCTGTCATTCGTAATAAGTTAGCTCGTATGGTTAGTATAAAAAAGTGGGGTTTTTTTCCTCGTTTTTTCAGATTATGGTATTGATAAATTGTGTTAGATATCATCTATGGAAAGTGCTCACAGTTGGCTTGAAAACTTAACCTATCAAATGAACCATATGAATTACAATGAACAAGCAGCAAAACTTGCAGGGCCTATGGCTCTATGTAAATACCAAGTATCAAGAATGCTTCACAATGTCTCCGATGACGCTTGTCAGATATATGGCGGTAGAGCTCTTACCAAAACTGGAATGGGTAGACAAATTGAAACACTTCAAAGAACATATAAATTTACATCTATTCTTGGTGGATCTGAGGAAATTATGGCTGATCTTGGTGTTCGTCAAGCTCTTAAGAACATGCCTTCAGGGGCTCGCCTTTAAGCCATTTTATAAACATACTAAAATAATCATGGTCAATAAATATATATTAAAGTAGAAATACTGAACCATTTTTTTACATTTTCAATGTTAAAGAGCAATATATTTAATACTATTTCTTCAAAAGCAAAATATTAAGGCGAGCTTATTGAACAAATTGCTGAAACTATCGATTTACATTCTATACCTTTCTCAAAATTATGTCGCGTTTTTTTAAATAAAGTGACGTAATTTTGAGAAAAAGTGTAGTTTAGCAAAAAAAATATAAAAGACCTTTGCATAAAACAAAAATATTCATAATAATAGAAGGTATTTGGTTAGGCATAATAAGGGTAATTTGGGACCAATTTGGGTTATATTTGTACATAAAGAAGTGCCTCAGTCAAGGCCGGATATGTAAAAGAGAAATACAAGAGCTACGAGAAAGATATGCTGTATTTGATAGCATATTTTCCTCTACTTCCTACTCATATTTAATAGAACACGTGTCTGCAGCATAAGTTTGCAATGTTTAATCGGTTCCTAATAATCTGAAAAAGTATTCACCTCCTCGATTCTATTATAGTATTTTCAGTGGCATTAAATTTTGAAGAACCAATGCATTGTCTTATTTTGGGTTGTGTTGTGATCTAAAGAGGTCATGCCTTTTTTAGTTTGTATACACACCTAATTTAGTTATAGAATGTTTACTCCTACAAATGCACTTTAAGCTTGCATCTCACACGATAAGACATATTCTTCTTCTTTATATTTTATTTATTTTTAATT